ACCCTACAGTAGACCCTACAGTGGACCCTCCAGTAGACCCTCCTGTAGACCCTACAGTAGACCCTACAGTGGACCCTCCAGTAGACCCTCCTGTAGACCCTACAGTAGACCCTCCAGTAGAACCTCAGACCATGTAGATCCTCCTGCAGACCCTGGGCAGCTGTGGCAGAGTGGTAAGGGGAGTCGTCCTGGATCTGCAAGGTCACTGGTTTGATCCTCCGTCAAGCTGTCTCAGTTGTTGTGTCCTTGGGTAAGACCCTTCACCCCTAATGCCTCTGATGTGTCCCATCAGTGTATGAATGATTGGCTCTGATTAGTCTCCACAGATGATTGTACATGTACATGCTGTGTGAATGGGTAAATGAGGACACAGATTGTAGTGTGAAGAGCTTTGAGTGTCCTGGTTGGATAGAAAGGTGTATTAAAAGTACAGTCCATTGTACCATTTTACCCTCCTGTAGGTGGATGGTTCAGCTGAGTTCAGGTGAATCAGAAACATTTCTTCACGTTTGTTTTATTGCAGCCATGAGGAATTGGATGCTTTTATTGTGAAAGTTTCTGTCTGTGTTTGAACTGGTTTATTTCATACAGACACCCTGAGCTGCAGGAACAGGAAACGTGTGAAACAGCTGAAAAAAGAAAACGGTTTCAGTCTTCTTGTGTTCACATTTAGTGTTTGTGTGGAAGTAATCTCTCAGGAACACGGTTGTTTTTAACGCAGGAGAAAACATGAGTTTAATAATAAATGTGGAGCTGAAGTGGTTTTAAATCAGAACCACCAGCTGCTCCCCGTCCTTCACAACTGCTGCCTGTTTGACGTCACGGCTTCAGACCCTCACAGCGGTGAGGAAGATGAAGATGAGTGGGTTTCATATTCTCTGTGGGCTCATCAGATTCTGTGACACTCGTGTTGAGTTCAGGTGAGGCAGGAAAGATGAGAACAACGCAGCTGGAAACAAATGAAAATCAAACCTGTTGGATCGTTAAATCTCTCACAGCTGAAGCAGAACTGGTTTTGGTGGTCTGGTTTTGGTGGTCCGTTCTGGTGGTCTGTCAGCCTCTGTTAAAGGTTGGGATTACAAGAGCGTGAAAAAAACTTCCCACCTTTTTTTTTTTACCAAACTGACCTTTTCTGCAGGAAATCCCTCGACAGCAGAGCAACAAAACGAATCAAAGCAGAATGAGTGCAGAGGAAGGTGAAACCTGGTTTTCTTCATCAGAGGTTTGATGAAGAGGAAGATGTTTTTAGCTTGAAAGTTTTCTGTTGGGGGGCCTTGTGGGGGGTTCTCCGGGAGTATGGGGTACCGGGCCACTTGATACGAGCTGTCAGGTCCTTGTACGACCGGTGTCAGAGTCTGGTTCGCATTGCCGGCAGTAAGTCGGGCTCGTTTCCGGTGAGAGTTGGAC